AAACCTAAGCTTGACATCATGCCAGAAGTGCTGTGGCCCCCACTCATCTTGAGGTGGTCCCAGAAGAGGATTCTGAGAATTCAGAAGTTCAAAGAACCACTGACAGAATTCTTCACCTAATCGACGAAAATCAACCTTTTCGGCCTTTTTTTCTTCTTTCTCCTGCTGATTAATGAAACCAAGGTTAATTCTCATATCTATTTTCTATCGAGGCTATTTCAGAGTCAAGTTTTAACATACTAGTTATAGCAGAAAGAAAGTGAACCACCTATGAACTCAATGATAGTACGTTCTTTCTCACAAAGGGGAGGTCATTTAAGAAATTCTCAGTTTAAACTTCTGACACTTCTAAGAAATTAAGGGTCAAAACCAAGTCTCTTAAAATATCACCATGAATTAAGTCAATAATAATGATTTACTTAAGCATATGCCTGTTTTAAAAAGAAAACAAGGCCCCCTAATTTGAAGTCACATCTATATGATTTCAAAGTTAACACTCTTTTCAGTACATTAAGGAAGCCCTAGAAGATCCTTTCCTAATGTGAAGGCAAACATCTCTCACTTAATTTTATCTGAGTGTATAGTTTGAAAACTTCAAGTTATCTAAAGGGTCAATAGGTATTTAAATATTCACACAGTATTTAAAATGCACAGTGGAAATACGAACAGCCAATGTCAGCTGGAGGAAGTTACTAAAACAGGGACTTTTTTATAGATAACAAAAATTTCTTTCATTTTTGCAATTTAATGCCAAAGAAAGTCTTCAAAATAAGAAAGGGCTTACAACAGCGTTCTTTTAAAGAAGGGGGAAAAAATTAGAGAAACAGAGGCTAAATTAAAATGAAATTGACCCTGCAGTCTATCTTGTAGAGGGGCATGGCAACCCACTCCAGTATTCTTGCCTGGAGAATCCTTTGGACAGAGGAGCCTGGTGGGCTACAGTCATAGGATCACGACTAAAATGACTTAGCATGCACGCACGCAGTCTATCTACTGTCTTTAAAAATCAAGTCTCCATTTGCTAAAGGGCTGCAAAACATTTTTCCCTCACAAATCAACAGAATATCACATATACATTACTAAAAAGAAAAAAAAAAGGTTCAAAAGGTAGGGGATATATGTATACCTACGGCTGATTCATGTTGAAGTTTGACAGAAAACAACAAAACTCTGTAAAGCAATTATGCTTCAATAAAAAAAATTTTTTAATACTTTGTCTTAGGTGCTTTACTGCTCTTCCTTTAGGATGCAAAAGATACAAAGCTAAAATTATAAAAAATAAACATTAATTAACCATGTCACCCCAGGTCTAGGATTATCTAAAGAGTCTCACACAGAACTATGGTCTAGGACATCACTATGAAATCCGTTTTACCTGTTCAAAGAGTCTAATGTCCTCTGTCTTAACTGGCTCTGGTGTTTCCTTCAACTTTAGTTGTAACTGCTTTTTCCAGTAATCCTTTGCATGCTGAATAAGATTGTGTTTTTCAGTAGCTGGAGGTATAATAACACCCTGTGTTGCCAAATACTTAAATATGATTTCTCGGTGGACTTTTCTTCGCCTCAAAAGTTCTTCTACACTTTGACTGTAGACTAATATTGCACGAATGGCATCTAAAAGAAAATTGTAAAGATTAGCAGAAAATCATGAGTCATTTGTAAATTTGTCCAGGGTTAGCAGAATCAAATGATATTTTATAAACTCTTCTCATGGCATTATTGCTTTTGTATGAGATGGTTATCATTTTTAAAAACCAGGAAGTGGGTTGTAAGGTTTTGGGTTTAAAAAAAATTTTTTTTAAAATTTCCCTACCTAAAATTCCCCCTTCCTTTTACTTCTCATAAGAGATTGTGAATTTAAGCATTTTAAGGAATGGTTGTATTTTAAGAAAAATACTGAATTAGAGAAAAAATTTCTTTTTAATAGGGTCAATAGACCTACATTCATTTACAATCCCTAAAAATAGACAAAATTACAATTCTTTTCAGTTCAATCTCCTTACTCTACAAATAATGAAAGTCAGGGATACATGAGGTATCAACAATCATACGTGTAAGAAGTGGTAGAGCCAAGACCATCTCTTTAATTTTGAAGAATTTCTGTTAAACAGACTAAACATTATTTTTACATGTGTGAGGTATAAAAGTAGTCAAAGTCATTCAGTCATGCCCGACTCTTTGTGACCCAATGGACTATACTATGGAATTCTCCAGGTCAGAATACTGGAGTGGGTAGCCTTTCCCTTTGCCAGGGGTTCTTCCCAACCCAGGGATGGAACCCAGGTCTCCGGCATTGCAGGAGGACTCTTTACCAGCTGAGCCACAAGGGAAGTCCAAGAATACTGGAGTGGGTAGCCTATCCCTTCTCCAGGGGATCTTCCCGACCCAGAAATTCAACCGGGGTCTCCTGCATTGCAGGTGGATTCTTTACCAACTGAGCTATCAGGAGAGCCCGTATGAAGTATACAGAATGGCAATAAAATGAACTCCTATATACACACAACATAGCTTAAGACATAGAAATAACTAGTATCTTTGATCCTCATTTTAACTTTTCCTACATAATGCTATTATCTCTCTCTTTACCTAACTGCTATTTAACATTTCCTCGATTTTCGTTCTTTTTGGCTGCCCCTCGGGGCTTGTGGGGTCTTTGTTCCTAGACCAGGAATTCCAGGGATTGAACCCAGACCTCCAGCTGGGGAAGTGCAGAGTCCTAACCACTGGACCACCAGGGAATTCCCTCAATTTTCTTTACAGTAGTACAACACAACCATGTTTCCCTACAGAATATAGTTTGGTATTTCTTTGAATGGTCTATAAACCTAATCCATCATTATATTACTGTAATTTTAATTTTTATTGTTTCTGAGATTAAGCTATGCGGATAAACACAGCTGTAGTCAACTGATTTTCAGTACTGTACCTAAGGTAATTATAGACTATATACCACAAGGTATTTACTTTTGTTTTATAGACTTATTATGTGTATCCAAGTACAAATACTATTGCTTTGAACATTCCCACACTATAGGTGAACGTGACTAAAACTGTAATAGGTTAAAATGCTTTACATAATTGATGGTGGATCTAAAAGCAAACAAGAAATGAAACTACCCAGTACAAAAATGTCTCCAAGCCCAGAAGGGCAAGGAGAATGATCATCACCTGGAGCCTGTTACAAAGGTAGAATTTCTGGGCCCGCTCCAAAACTACTCAATCAGAATCTGCATTTTAACAGAATCCCTGAGAGATTCATGGGCACATTGAAGTTTGAAACACTCAGGTAAGCAATCTTCCATTTTAGGAGGTAATACCAAACTTGTTTTCCAAAGTAGTAGTTTCAACTTACACTCCCCAGTAGTTGTCAAAGACTTACTTCACAAGATAAACAATATTTGAAGTTTATATGTTTAGTTTTGGAAATTTGGTACATATAAAAGAGACCATATATTTTGGGATTTTATTTCACTGCTTTCTAAAGATGTTGACTATCTTTTCCTATGCTCTCCCCCCACCCCCACCACCCCCGAAATGATTTGTCAAATCACCTAACATTTTTGTACGGGGTAGTTTAATTTCTTGTTTGCTTCTAGATCCACCATCAATTATATTTTAATCTATTCATCAATAGTGTTAGAAGGTGATTACCATGTAAAATATATAAAAGCCAAAGAACTACATTAATTCTAAAATTATTTTCAGTCTAACGTCTTAGAAATTCATTTGGTGTTCATGGTTCACTTTCAAATGAATGACCTTAAACGGCGAAAACGTAAAAGGACTCAAAAGAGAAAGGCAGTTATAAAAGGCAGACTCTGATACTTAAATCATAAGCTAATGTAAGAGTCAGAAATTTTCCCATTTTAAAGTTTCAGCAAATTTAAAATAAAACTAGTCAGGTAATACACAAAATGATAAATGCTTAATGCTTAAGCTACTCATTACATTACAACCAAACAATATTTGTAACCCATAAAATCTACTCTACCGAAATGTTTATTTGGCTCTGAAAGTAATGTAGTCCTAGTACGCAGAATCATCTCTGAAAAAATGTGGATCCAAAATGAGACATGGATTCAAACTATCTGCTGCTCTTTTATCACAGCAGTTGTTTTAAACGCATAAAGCAGCCGACTGATAGTGTTTATGATATCTTCCCCAAGCTCAAGAAAATAAGCAGCAGCTGACACTCCTTCCCTGAGCGAAACTGAAAAAGGAGAACACCCGACTTCCCAAATTAAAAAAAAAAAAAAAAAATCACTATTCACGTACCTTGAATTTTCGAAACGAAACAAGCAGCAATGTGCTCGTAACATTTAAAGGATTAAAACCTGGACAGCAGCGCCATTTTCAGCCCACCATTTCCCCCAGTGCTTGGCGAGGCGGGGGTGAGCCGTGGCTACGAGGCAACACAGCAGCTACAGTGGCCATGACTTCCGCGGGTTCCGCACAAGTGCAGTCGCGGACCGGCCGTGAGCGAGACCCACCACGGCCTCCACTCACACGCTCCGGCAAGCTGGCGGCCGAGTGAGGCCTGAGGAGAGATAGCCACCCTTTGCGGGGCGGGGAGTGGGGACTACCCTTACCTTGGCGGTCCTCAGGCTGCACCAGACGGTTGGTGATAGTGTCGCATAGGGCCATGATCTCGTCGTTGTCCAATAGGCTGAGCAGGTTACGACAGCCCTCCATCTCCGTGTAGCTGAGCCCCGTCATCTCGACCCCCGTCATCTCGACCCCCAGAATGGGGGGGAGAGGACGCCGCCAACAACGTCGCTTCCTCAGGCCCGCCGGGCCGGCGCCTTGGCAACAGAAACCGGAAGTGCCTTCCGCGCCGTTCGCCGCCAAAGAGCCTCGGGTATTCCAGACCCGTGGGCGGAAGTGGTAGTAAATGAGGGACTCAGGAAACTCGGTGCTCCGATCGGTGGTTCCGGGCTGCTGGGAACTGAGAGAATTCTCTCGCATCTCACTTTAGGGAAGCTCCGCGTTTACACTGGAACGCCGGCATTCCACAAGATAAAACGAAACCCTCAATTCCTCAGGAGTCCCGCCTCCAAAAGAGCGCCTGGGAGGCCTGCGCAGTACAGGTGCGTGGAAAGCGGGCGGCGGCCCCCGCGCAAGGCGAGCTCCCGTGATGCAGCGGGGCCGGCCAATGGAGGCGTCTCCTCCCCGCCCGCGGGCCCAGCCCCTCGGCAGCGCACGAAAGTTATCTTTGGCCACTTGAGAGTTGGGTGGTACACCTGTAGTTTGATATTAAGTTACATAGTTGTGTGTTGAAACAATCTGGCGTTGTTTCACATTGTACTTGGAAAAGTTTAGGAAGAAAATCACCTACCCTATGCCACGCCTGCCCGCCTTTCAGCTTAACTCGCCAACAAGCTGGGGTCCGCTATTGCTTCTCTTCTGATCCTCGCCGGCCTGGCTTTAGTCGAGGCAATATCGCGAATGGTTTAAGGTTGGGGACTCTGAAAACCAGATTGCCAGGATTTTATTCCGTCATTTATTAACTGTGACCTTGAGCAAGCTCTTTGGTCTCCCAGTTTTCTGTCTCGAAATGGATACAGTAGAGATACCTACCTGATGGGGTTGTTGGGGCGGGGGAGGAGGGTGAAGAACTGTATTAGCTCTTGTTATCACTGTTAGTGTCAACATTTACGAGGGAAACTTCAGGCTTAAATTCACTGTCACTGCCTTCTGTCTCCTTCCGTTGTTTTAGCCATCGTTTAGATTTATTAACATTAATCAGATTATTGCCAGTTAGTAGCTAAAATGTGCACCCTTGCATATCCAGATAAGCAAATTTAACTTTTATGTAAATATCACAGCTAAATCAGTCAAAACGTACTGTGAGTGTAGTCTTAAAGATAAGGCATTCAAAGCATAGTTAAACTGACTTGCCAGTGGATGTCATTTAGGGCACATTTTACTTATCAGATACCAATTCTTCATTTTTCATTAAGCATTGATCGCCTACCATGAGAAATGACACAGACCCTTCTCCGAGAAGCTTTTGGGAGTGTTGCAAATAAAGAGATAAATGCTCACAATACTGGTGCGGAGCCAAATGAAAGACATGCCCAAACTGTGTGTGGGTGTGTAACGTATTTACTGAGCACTACTTTCTCACTTTCACTTGCCAGACACTGTTTTTTATGCTGGGAGCAATTACAGGTCTTTTGGAGCTTGCATTTTAGTAGAAGGAGACAGAAATGTAATAATGCCAGGAAATTCTATGGGAGAAGTCAGAGGGATGGAGGAGAGGATGTTGCTATTTTATACAGGCTGTGAAGAAAGGCTTCTCTAAGTGACACTGAGGGAAGATCTGAAAATAAGAGACTGAACCACAGGAGAGTGTTCTAGGAAAAAGCAGCAATAGAGGTTCTGAGGAAAGAACAGAATGCTTGGCATATAGGGAGGCGGCCAGGAGGCTGGAGCAGCTTGTGCAAAGAGGAGGCGGTACGAAGTGAGGTTAGAGCTGTAGTCAAGATTGATCCAGAGCAGGGTTTCTCAACAGAAGCATTATTAACATTTCGGCCAGGATAATTCTTTTTTGTGCGTCTGCCCTGTGCATTATAGGATGCCCAGTTGCATCCCTGACCTCTACCCAATGGATGCCAGCCTTCTCCCCTAGTTGGGCTGACAAAATATCTCCTTCCTCAAATATTTCTTTGGGGGGGGGGGGTGTGTGTGTGCAAAATTCCCTCAGTTGAGAACCACTGATACAGAACCACCTGTCCAAAGGTGCTTTCTAAGATGAAACTGTTTTGCATCTGTGCTAATATAGTAACTGTCAGCCGGCCACACATACCATTGAACTCTTTGTAAGGCAGCTAGTATAATTGAATCCATGTATTTTAAATTTTACTTGAATTTTAACAGTAACTTGTAGCTAGTGGCTATTGTATCAAATAGTGCAGTCTAGAGTCTTACAGCCCATTGTAAAGACTTTGGCTTTTATCTTTTACCTTGGTCTGCATTTCCTATTCTGTCTCTCCAGACTAGTCACAGTGGTTTTCTTGCTTTTTGTGTCTTAAACTTACCATGCAGGTACTTGCCTTAGAGCCCTTGCTCTTACCTGGCACATTCTTCCTTCCTTCAGAGGGCCGAGTGGCTTTCTTTCCCTTACTTCATTATTTCCCCTGCCCAACAGTTATCAGAAGTGCTATCATCGTCTCTTATGATCCTGTTTAAAATCACCACCTACAATGCCATGCTTACTTATACGTCTCTACCTACTTTTCTCTATACCATTTATATTGTACTTTTGCACCTCCCCCCCAGTAGAATGTGAGTTCTGAGATTCAGGGATTTTTATATGGTTTTTTTTTTTTTTTCCTTTTTCATTGTCTATTAACAGAGGCTGGCACATAGTATGCAATAAATATTTGTTGAATAAATCAATGAACTGTAAAGCCATTGGAGGATTTTAAACCAAGGAATGGTATGATCTGACTTGTTTCAAACTGGATCATTTTGGCTGCTGTTGTCTAGAACAGACTGCCAGAAAGGCAAGGATAAAGGCAGGGAACTCAACTAGAAGATTAATACAATAAATAGTTCAGGTGAGAGTGGAAAACATGATAACAAGTCAGGGATGACTGGCAAGTTTTGGTTTGGGCAACTGGAGTTGCTATTTACTGAGGAGGACTGGGAGAGAGAGGTTTCAATAGAGAAATCCAGAATTATTAAGAGAAATCTGCTTTCTGGAGAGTGTAATGATGCTCAAGAAGATTAAGCGAAGAATGAGTGAAGCAGAAAAAGAAGTACAGGTGGAGGGAGCCGCAGTGAAAACTGCCTGGAACAGCGTGGCTGTGTTTGGCTAGAACAAGGACAGTGCAGGAGCCACAACATGAAAAGGAAGTCGAGTCAATACAATTTTCACAGGGAGGGCTCAGCACTTAATTCTTAAACTTTCAAGACTGGCTCTCCCCTTTTAACAGACAAGGAAGTCTGAATTCTGTGGGATGGACTTAGTTGCCTTAAAGCTATTATGCTAGAATTTGAATATATTTGATCTCACATCTTTGACCTCTTTTCATTAAACTACATTCTGGTAGTTTCACTGAATACTTCATGGGGAAAAAAAATTTTCTAGATTAGCAGATTTGGGGTATAAGAGCTGGTGAAAATATTCATTCATTCAACAGTAGTTGTTTAAAACCTATTAAAGGTGACTTCCTTAAATGCCCTGGAAATTGGATTTCTAAGGCTCTATACATTTAATAGTTTAACTGCTAGGGAAATACGAAGAACCTTGTTGATTTAGATCTGTGGTTTTCAAACATTAGTGTGTATCAAAACCACCTAGATGACTTAAGACAGATTGGTCCCTCAGTTGATCAAAAATGTAGCATTTCTGTTTTCTTGGGGGCAGGGGCACAACCACATCCTTGTGACTTACAGAATCCTGTGAAAGTGCCAAGTCCTACCACTGCACTGCCAGAGAAATCCCCCAAATTTAGCATTTCTAATAAGTTCTCAGGTGATAATGCTGCTGTTCTGGGGACCACACTTTTAAGAATCACTGCTAGTAAAAGAATGAAACATCAACCAGCCCTGTCTGTACCAGACTTCATCCTTTGTCTCTGAAATCACTGATCCTCAGGCAAGTCTAACCCTTTCCACTTGGATATTATCAGATCTGCTAGTGCCCCACATTTGTAGGGAAAACTGCATGCCAGAATGGAAACTACATGACATGATTTTAGGAGGAAACAGCAGATTTTTCAGTCCCACCTCTGCATTTATTAGCTATGTGACTAGTCAGGTTATTTAACCTTCCTGAGCCTTCGTGTCTAAAAAGCACTGCTGCTAACCATCTTTGGGTTGTTTTAACAATTAGAGGTAACATACATAAAGTAAGCTGGAACACAGTAATTTTTTCTCCATTTACAGTACCCCAAAATAAGGCATGAATCTCTCTCCCATTTTTAGTATTTATTCCAAGTAATACTGGATTGCCTCCATTTCAGGTATGGATGGCTGTACAGCCCAAATTTCTGGCCTCATTATCCGTTGACTCTTGAAATCAGTATGAATTTTATGCTATGAAAGCAATCTAACTCATTTGTCTTGGAAATGTATTTAATATTCAATTGTTTGCCAGCATTCCTCAAATTTCAGAAAAGAAAAAATAGAAAGTCGAGATAACCCCAGTAACTTTGTATCTAAATACCTCAATGTATTTATTTAATCATCTAAGATCATATGACCACGAATCATAGATTGTGAATTCTAGATCTCAGCTCTGGAATGCTTTAATAACTTTCTCATGTTTTTCAAAGCATAACATTTGTAATATTTGCAAATCACTGTAATTAACAGAATATCTATTCTTTCATTTGAAGTGCTATCATCACATCAAAGAGCTTCTCTTTCTACTTCAGCCCTCACTTTTCCAAGTTGCAAATTATAGCAAAAAGTATAGGAGGTCTACCTTTGTTAGTGAGCCAAAAGAGTAGGAGCCCTCATGACCAAGGACCTCACTTTTAGGTACAGATTACTAACTGGCTTAAACATGTTCCCATTGAGGTGCTTCTGTAGGAAGCAATTATCATAATGTGCATCTTATTTCAAAATGACTTCACAGTCTTTAAGTTCCACCAGAGGCTCTTCATCTCTGAAGAAGTACCAATGTAGATCAGTCCATCCACTGTCCTGGAGAGTTCTGACATTTGTCTTCCATTTACTAAGTTTGCAGAGGCTACTATTTCATACTGAAACTACTTACCTGAAATAACTTTAGTAAGCAGTGTTCTATCAACTTGTAATTCCTGCATATGGAATTAGTTTAAACAATGTCTAAAAATACCTATTTTATATAAACTTTTAGAGTTTTCTGTTTTCCATGTATTTTAAAATCACTCAATAATCTGAATATAGTAATATTAACTGAAATACCTCATTCTCTTATGAAACATAATACAAATTTCTTATTTAACATTTACCTTAAGCCTAATTCCTTTTGAAGTGATGTGCTACATAAAACTGAACACTTCATTACCAACAAGGACAATGTTTTATTGAACAAATCTATGTACAGTACAAAAAATTTCTTGAAATGAGACACTATTGTTGATTTATTGCAGTTCAATGGCTCAGTTTTAATTTGTACTCTTATAAAATGCAAAGTAAAATAATTTAATGTTCAACAAGGAAGCACAAATTTCCTTTCTTGCTGAATCTGTAATACCTTTCACATATTAACAATTCCAAAATGCATATGCAGCATTTAGTCATTCTGAAAAGGTGTTTTACAGTACCAAATAAATTAAAAAATAAACATATACCATTCTTTTTAGGCTTTTCACCCATACTACAGTTTGAACCAAATATGAAAGGAGTACGGCTGTACTTTCAAGTGTGATTTGAAAAGAATCACAAGTTTGATGGTATAAGTTATCTTTTCATTATATAATTGGTGGTTTAAAAGAAAAAAAAATATGGCTAAAGCCCAAAGTACCAGTGTCCTTGTCCACAAAGGGTCTCCTTTTCTACCTTCTCCATAATATCTGAGCAGCAAAATTTCAGATTTGCTATTCTTTTGACCTTACTGAAACATAGCAGGAAGCTAGTATTTAATATTTCAATGGAAATTTTTATTTGACAATGAAGGATTGAAACCTGGTCCATGTAAGATAAACACATCCTTAAAACAGAAGGAGTAGAGAAGAAAAAGAAGATTTTGAGGAATAAGAAGAAAGCTTCCTTGTCTTCTGGATCTCACATTAGAACTGTTGGAAGTTTACGCACCTCGTAAAAGCAAAATGATGTAAGTTTTATAAGGCATACATAAGAAAATGCACATATTCTTTCAATAGCAATCATTTGATAAGTAAAGAGGTTAGAATTAGAACAATGTGGTCCAACAGAATTTTATATAACAATCCCTTGATGTATAAACCAATTTGAGCTCAGTCTTTCAGAAAGTTTTCCCTTAGCAAAACAAAAGTAGAAATAAAACAAACCTCAAATTAAAGACAAAAAAATAACATGTGGAATATGTTTAAAACATTTTGGTATGAATTACAGAATGAATGAAAACAATTTGCAGACATGGATTTATGTCAATAGTTACAACTTATAAAAAATAAAAAGTTAAAAATGTGATAAAATGTTAAGCTGTGGTTTTAAACGTCTGGAAAACATACAAAGCAGAAATATTTCAAAATAACTTCACTGCCCATATGAACTAATTTCCAAACAGGCTTTTTTAATACATTACTGAACTGAAATAGAACTCAAGTATTATATTTTAGTATCAGGAAGCATGAAAAATGTTTTTTTTTTCCTTAAAAGACATAAATATCTGATCAAGTTGTTTATCTTATGTTATTTAAATGTAAAATCCATAGCCTAATATAGGCTACATAACAAAACAAAAACCTGACTTGACTGAAATGGACTGCCGACTATCAATTGCATAGTAGTAAATGCCTGTGATAAATAAACTAATAAAATTGGGACATTATTTTAGATATCTGATTTATCATGACCTGGAAATCCTAATTTAATAAAGTCTGGATCCTACCCATGAAGAAAAGTCCACTTCCTTAGTAGCTTCATTCAATAAGCTTTAATATCCCAAAATTTATAATGTAGGGTCTGATGAGATTATATACTTTGAACAAGAATAGACCAGTGGAATAACTGGAATATTTGGTTGACATATTTGTATGTTAATAGCTCTGTTTTTAAAGAATCTACCTTTGCAGCTTTTGTTCATTTTACCCCTGCTATAGATTAATACCCTATTAGGTAAAAGGAAGTCTTTAAGCTTCTTCTTTTAAAGACTATACAAGTGGAACACATCTGAGAGGGTATTTTTAAAAACTTTTTAAACAATTTATTGGCTATTAAGTTAAAATCTTCCTTAGGAAAATTACTGGTCATCAAAGAAAATAAATGTATCAATATATCTTACTGTGTTCTTGCTGTGCAAGTTTTTGTGTAAATATTTCCTTTTATATATAAAAATTAATATTCAGGCCAAATTTATCAGAAATAAATAATAAAGCATGAGTAATATGGCTTATTTTAGAATAAACTCTCCTAATTGAATAAAACCAAGGAATTCTTGACCTGATTCTTGGCTGCATGTTTTTTTTTTACAGCCAGTTATTTTCATAGGACTGTACTTAGATAATTCACATTCATGTCTAAAGGACCTTACTATGAATTATCAAGCAATGTCCTAACACTACTCTATATACAGACAGAAATACCCCAGTGTGCTTATACCATTATTCACATTGAAAAATTTGCAATTCAGTGTTTTCTTTCAACTAAGACATCTAAGACAGCCTTTAATGGTCTTACATTCCTCCCATCTCTCCCCAGAGTTACTGATAGTATGTTTTCTATTGAGGCTGCTGCTTTACAGCTCGTTGGTATTATAAAAATGGGAAGTGGAAGGTTCTGTCAAGAGCTCATTAGCAAAGCACTATTGTTTTGTCTCCTGTTAATTTTCAATGCTGGCATGCCATTCACTGAACTCTGACCTAATCAATCCTCTGGAAACGAGTTACAATCTTTTATGGCTAGGATGGTGATAAGTCAAGTTTTATTCTATAAGTTTCTAAATAATAATAAACCAAATAGAAATGGTTCCTTAAAGCATGTTTGACCCAAAAGAAGGACAAAATCTGATTATGCATGACAAGAATCCTATTTGTAGAATACTTTAAATTGTTTATTGTAAACCACTCCTTTTATATATATATATATACATATATATATATATAATGGGTTAGTCTTTCCCTTTCTGTAAGGCCATAGCTGGTTATTCTTTTTGACTAGTTGCCTGAACATGTTTCTCACATAAGCGAAACTGAACATGCTGCTACTGATCATCATCAACTTCTTTTAAAAAAAAAATGTGGTTTTTCTGGATAACTGGTACTTTGGGAGTTTTGTAATAACCCTTTTGGAGTCTAAACCAGCACATCTCCTCTGTGGGTTCATTCTAGAAAATGTGCTTTGTCTTTATCTTTAGTAATCCAAGATCGCTCTAAAATTAAGGCCATCAGGGAAATAGCAAACTGATGATGCATTTTCTTGTAGTGCTTTTTGCACACTACTGCTTGATCGACAGATCTTTCTGAAACATTTTTATCAGGCACCTGTAAAACAGAACACGTCTGTTAATTCATATTTTATAGATGTTCATCTAGTATTCTAAGTTAGATTTCCTGTTTATTTATACCCTTACTCATTCAAAGAATATTAATATTAGTAGAAAAGCATGTTCTTCTTTAGCTCAGTTTGTTTTTCAATTATTTTGTTTTTATTATTTTTTTTTTTTTTAATTTTTGTTTTTGTAATAGAGGCTCAGCTTCACTTGGTTTATATTCTGGCATGCAGATGAAAAACACTTTCATCATAATCAGTTTGTCTTCAGATTTCTTATTACATAAAAACATGGGATGAAGAAAAGCCTCAGGTAGTTAAAATGTATGATCCAAAAGTATGAACAAATTGTGTTTAAGTTCTGGCTTCCACAAGTTCATAGGCCTATGCCTATGCAAATTACTTGTGAATGTCAGTTGCTTGATCTATAAAACAGGAACAGAACCTTATGGTGGTTGTATGGATTACAGGAAATAATGTACGGAGTAGTGCTTTATTATCTGTGTTATACAAATGTCAATTTTTTTAACCTTATGACAATTTATGGCATTTTCTACTTCTACAGATATACCTACTGAGAAGACAGCAGACTTACTTTCATCATCTGAATCAAATCCAAAGAGGGTCTGACATTTCTTTTGTGCAAGGTGAGCCTCAAGTGCTTCTGCATTACAGTAGGTGGTCAGGCATTTGCCACATCTTAATCTTTTCACTGATTTTTTACAAACGTTATCTTGATCAGAACAGGCATCTACCCTATCAGTCAGAAATTTTCTGCGTTTTGGCATACTAAGGTACCGTTCATCAAGGTAACTGGGAGGCAATGGTCTGACATATGGCTTTGTTAAAATCAAGCCATATGAAGTATGTTCGCTCGTCGGATTTGGTTTGGAAGGTGCCTGAGATACTGGCAGGGTACTGTGTTCTTGTGGTACAACACTGGGTAAAATGGAACCGTTTTCTGTCCTGATTCTATTTGTATCAATTTTGAAAGCAGGATCTGATGAAACTAAAGGTGTTTGCTCTATTCCACTGTGTCCATTGACTAAATCATTAATACTACAATTATTTTCAGAATTTGGCTCTATGTCAGGCATCTTTTGGTCTGTCAAGCTTGTATCAGAAACAGTGTCATCAGAATGTTTATTTCCATTCTGAATTAAACGGTCTGTTTTCTTTTCCATATTTTCTATACATGTCTTTGGTTCTGTAATATCTTTCCTTGATTTGCTAGTAGAAACTGGAAGATTAATAGTCTGTCTCTCATTACCAGATGAGTCTTTTTCCTGATGATTAGATTTTGCGTCTGTAAGAACATCCCAAAGAATTGTTTCACTTGGTTGTGCAGATGATTCTGGTGTTTTACTTAAATAGTGCTGAGCTTCATGTTCATATAGCAGAGGAAGATCTTCAAAAAGCTCATGGCATTCTGGAAAACTACACTGAGCTTGAAATATCCTGTGACTTTTTGTGTGCTGAGCAAGTTGGAATGGCAGCTTAAATGATTCATTGCAATTAAAATGCAAACAAAAATACACATTTGGATAGCTGTGTCTATTAAGGTGATCTATAAAATGTTGAGAATCTTCAAATTGCCTTTGACAAAATTTGCATTTTCCTTTGCTCCACTTCATTACTGTTTGCCGCACATTTAAATCAGTTGGATGTACAGTCCTTGCATGCTTATTCAGAAATCCAATTCTTTTAAATATCCTGACACAGCCAAGAGCAGGGCACTTAAAATTTCCTTCTTGATCTGTTGCATATATGTCTTTTGGATGGCACACAGCTCCATTGATTTTATGAAGTACTGAACTTTCTTGATTCAGGTCATAGTCATCTTCTTCATAATCACCTTCCTCATCTTCTTCCTCCTCATAGTCATCCACACAGATAGGTAATGGCTCTGAGACATTATTTAAAGAAGTATCAGGGCTGCCATTTTCAGTAATGTTTTCAATAACATCTTCTGATACATTTACAGGAATTTCAGTGAATTCACCCACATGTGCAGGGATGACGTCTTTTTTTCCGTCACTGGAACCAGTAACAGTCTCTATTTCCAAATCCTTATTATCAGAATTCCCATTTTCAAATGAAATGAAAGTATCAGAACAATTCATTTCTTCCAAAGCAGGACTTTCCTGATCCTCTTGCTGAGCGGCAGCAATTTGCTGTCTCTGTATTTTCTTAACGTGATTCTTTAAATGCTTCTGCATAAGTCCTTTGTTTCTAAATTTCCTGCCACATATCACACATGAAAAACTGCCCTTTTTCTGATGAGCCTGGGCATGCCTTACAATGTGACCACCTAAAAACTCCTTGTTACATAACATACACCGATGCCTTGGGACATTGTGATCTACTCTGGAAGCATTAAGAGCTGTAAGGTTTTTCTTTGCATTAATAGGGCCTTTTGGTTGCACTCCAGATATATCATCAGGATCAAGCTCTCCAGTGCTTTGATCTGTAAGAGAGTCAAGCCCTTCCTCTAAACCGTGCTGATCCAATGCCTTTTTTACATTACCTGTAGAATTTTCCAGTGCACTTTCATTTAGAAATCTAACTGCTGATTTATCACTCAGTAATGCTACACAGTTTTTCTTAATCATAATGAAGTTCCAGAATTCAGGATCAAAAAACAATCCCTTTTTCAAAATTGGAAGTAATTCAAAACGAACACGATTCTGAACACTGCTTGAGCCTTCATTGTATTCCTCGTCTGGGCGTTTGTAAAGCTCTTCGACAGTACGATAAGCTTCCAAGGAGCGCTCAAGAAAGAATATCGAGAGTGCGCAAATCCTGAGAATCTCCAAATCATTTGGTAAAAAATGTGCAATTGTTTTATAAATTAGACATTTAGTTCTGGGATCATCATGAAGATCTAGTTGTAGAGCACAACCACATATTTCAACACAAATTTGTAAGCCTTCTTCTTCAACCTGTAAAAGAAAAATATTACCACTGAATACCTTCTAAAAAATCATCAACCCTTACTAGTTTATCTTTTTAAAATACAACTCTGAAACGAAAGCTAAATAAACAAATATAGTATTCTAAACATGTAGTTTTCTTCAATGGGTAGCCTTGTTTACTCTTTTTTAATATGTAAATAAATTTCTTTTTTTTACTTGAGAATAATCTGGAAAAGATAGCATTTTAGCTTCAACTTATTTAGTTTTCAAGTTTATGAGCCTTACTAACCATAATAGAAAATGTTATAACCTTATGGTGATTAAAATATAAATGCTTCATAAACTTATGGTGATTAAAGTTTATTACAAATCTAGATTTTTTTTTTAAAAGGATGGCTTATGGAAACTTTCATAAAGCTGCACTAAATAATATTATTTTACTTATTAAGTAATATTATTTATCAAAATAAGCAGAGAAATGTAACCCATATGAAGAAGGCAATTACAAACTTTCCAAATCAGTAAGGTATCAGAATAATGAACGTACTGAAAGTTATCTGAAAAGTATTCAAGCTTTGAAACTTTTACTGATGACTCAAATATAACTGCATCAAGCTTTTAGTTGGGAATTTGTTGACTGTCCACCTGAATTCAAGTTATAAATACTGCCTCTAGTGATTTGGGAATGATCTGCTCGTTTGAATAGAAAGAGATAAAATAATATGTTTTTAACAGTTATGTGTGTGTATCATATTGCCTGCATATGGTAAATTACAGATGACAGGGAGGAACACTACTTCGCCAGCCTTATGTCCTCTGAGTTCCTTATGTGCTATGTAACCCTTACAGTTCCACAAGCAGACCTTAACTTTGCATATCACTTTACCTAGCTGGTAAATTCCTATCTCCTACTCATTCTTTGAGAATCCTAAATCACAGGGACAGTATCTCATGTGGTTAGCATCTTCTGTGGTTATCATAGGACTTGGCATATAAAGACCTTTGAATAAGTGTTTGCAGAATGAATGAGATCAGATATACCAATTTTAGTCTTCTGTAAAGGTACCATTTACAACTTGGAATCCTTTTCTGAATTTGAATGTCTTATTTCTTATTGTTACTTATAATAGTGGTTACTTTCTAATGGTCAGTTACAAAATCTGCATAAATTTTCCGATACAGCAAATTCAAATCCACTGCTTCAAGAAAATTCATTCTTTTTCTCCAAAGTTCTATCTACATCCTCTACCTTTCTTCACGAATTATAATGTACTTAGTTGCTGAGGTTTAAAAAAATTTCAGGATCATCAGAAAAGGGAACAGGCTAAGGCTACTTTCTAACCTGAAAGCCCTTAACCATTCCACTACATTTAGGAATTGTTTCAGCTTTTAGTGTAATATTCAGTCCCTTTTGTATCTGTAGCAACCCGAACCCCACAACAACTAAACTCTTTGATTAGTTTCCCCATCCACACTCTCCTATTAATGCCACTGGACAGTTATGAGAACCAAATAATAAAATGAAGAAGTCCTCTACAAATATCAGTATTACCCTATTCTATCCTTTAACACCAGCTGAAAGCACCCCCTCTGTGAAGCCTTCTCAGATGCACTATCTGTAATGTCTCCTTCTGAACTCACAGCGTTACCTGTGCCTCCTGTCACAGCACTGAGGCGTATGAACGATCTACTCCATCAGAGGAAATGGTTTTAGTAGAGTGTATAAGAAATTAAGCACATTTAAAATACTTATTTCCTCTTCGAATTTTTCTTATCATGTATTCTTAGGTTGACCATGAATATGAAATTGAGGAAGTTCTAAGATAACTGGCTGAACTTACCTATATTTTAAACTTTCTGTAAGAGTCTCTCAGTTTTTGGTGAAAAGTGAAAGTGTCAGTCACTCAGTCATGTCCTATTCTCTGCAACCCCATGGACTGTAGCCCTCGCTCCTTTGTCCATTGGATTTTCTAGGCAAGAATACTGGAGTGGGTTGCCATTCCCTTCTCCAGAGAACTTCCTGAACCAGGGATTGAACCCAGGTCTTCTGCACTGCAGGCAGATTCTTTACCACTTGAGATGAGAATCATTTGTTTAAAACATATAGAGAGAAATGTTTATTTTTAGAAAAGTTTTACAGGTGATTCTGATACACTTCAAATATTAAGTGCAAAATTTGTACTCTACAGCATAGATTTTTTCCCCCCATTTTTTGGTGGCATGAGAGGTTAACTTTGATGATGCATTTAAATGACATCTCACTATTTAATAATGAAGCTATTAATGTAGTTAGCTAAAAAGAACCTAAAAAAGTCCTCTGATACAATGCTTTATATCATGGGAATATGATACCAAACTTTGTATCAGGGGAATATGATCACTACATGGTCATACATCTAATGAGTGATGCAATAATAAATATGACAAATGAATAAATGTATAAAAAATTAAAATACATTATTTAATGGATGCCTCCTTACGTATTTAAAAGTAACCCACATAAAGATTCAGTTAAATGGAGCTATCTAAAATGTAAGGTAGCTTTATCTTTCCTATCTTTGTATTTAAAGTTCTGTTAATATTTGAGGAGAAAAAGTAAAAAGATCTGTATGATCTACTTTCATGTCTATATAAGAATCTTACGTAGAAACACACTTGCCAGTAGCCCATGAAAAACTTGCTTCAGAACTATTTTTAAAAACAGGTAATGGGTTTTTACTCTTATTTTAAAT